GCCACTTAATGACATGTCTGAAACAAGACAGACAAAGTCATTCTCAACATCTTCTCTTCTGATTAACATGAGTGATTGCTACTTTTTTACTAGCAACTACTCTGGGTCCACTTTAATTCTCCTGCCTCCTAGACTAAAATAATAATAACAATAATAATTAAGGCCAGTTATTGACTCATTCCAGCTTCTTAAGAACATCCAGTACAGAACTGGACTCCATGTTTTAAAATCCAACCTTCAACCATGCAATTCAAGGCCAAATCATATAAGAAGTTCCTGCAAACTCTCTTTTACTAGGACAGCCCATGGTTTCTCTGGAGTGCATTCTTTCTGGCAGCAGTAAGCTAAATGAATCTAACATGGACTTACAGGTACATTCTTAGAGCTCTTTGGTTGATGGCCTATAATAGTTTCTCGATTGTTTGGCTACATACAAGGTGGTGGTAGGGTATATTAAAAAGTAATATTTGGGAAAAAACTTCAAATTTCCTATTTTGTATATGTTGAGTTTAGGATGCTTTTGAGACATTCAAACAGTGTTAAAGAAGTGATATCACAAAGGGGAAGCTTGGATGCAACTTTAGAAATTACCAACATATAAATGGAAATGGAAGTCAGGGTATAGATGATATCACTCAGAGTAAAAAGCATAGGAAAGGAAGAATGGGAAACTATCACTGAATCTGGAATAACTCCAGTATGAAGGTTCTGTAGAGAAGGACAAACAAGAAAGGCTGAGAAAGTTCATCCAAAATTCAAATATAAAAACCAAGAGCATATCATCACGTAAACCAAAGAGAATATGTCAGGGCCTATGGAGTGACCAATGTTTGAAAACATTTTACAGACCAAGTAAGAAGACAATTGAACAATGCCCTTTGGAGTGTGTGAGATTAAGTGTCAACTTCATTGCATTGAAGTATGCAAAGTACTGTTTCTGGGTGCGTCTGTGAAGGTGTTGCCAAAGGAGATTAACATTTGAGTCAGTAGACTGGGAGAGGCAGACCCACAGTCAATGTGGGTGGCCACCATCTAATAAGGTGCCAGTGGTAGCAGAAGAAGGTGGGAGAAGTTGACTTGCTGAGTCTTCTGGCCTTCACCTTTCTCCTGTGCTGGATGTGTCCCACCCTGGAACACCAGACTCCAAGTTATTCAGCTTGTGGACTCTTGGACTTACACCGGTGGTTTGCCAGGGGTTCTCGGGGGTTTTTTTGCTACAGACGGTCTACTTCCCTACTTCTGAAGTTTTGGGATTCAGACTGGTTTCCCTTGCTCCTTAGCTTGCAAAAGGCCTGTCATGGGACTTCACCTTCTGATTGTGTGAGTCAATACTCCTTAATAAACTCCCCTTTATATATACATCTATTAATTCTGTCCCTCTAGAGAACCCTGATTTAATACAGAGTTCATCATTGGTATTTTTGTGAGAGATTTTTTTCAGAGTTTTGATGGAAACAGAAGCCAGATTACATGGAAGAGGAGTAAGTATGAGGCAAGCTAAGTGAAGAAAGAAGGAAGGATCATCCAGAAAAAGGGACAGCATGATAGTACTATAAGTAGTGGTTAAATGTATAGACTCCTAGAGACTGATAGTTCAAATTCCAAATTTGTCTCTTACTAGCTGTGTGACCTTGGTCAATTATTTAACTTATTTGTGCCTCAGTTTCTTCATTTGTCAACTGGGGGCAAAACAGTAACTGACCACATGGGGTTGTGAGAAGGAATGGGTCAATTAATAGAGAGTCCTGAATGTAGAAATTTCTCAATGAATATTAGGCAACAATTATTACAAAAACATGAAACAGTCTGACACCCATAGGGGCTTGAAAATAGATCAACGTGAATGGTGGGTGTAGTGCTAAGACCAGAGAAATTGACAGGGTTGTGGACATAGAGGATCTTGAATGCCATGTTAATGAGGTAGATCTCCTCTCAAGCCATAAGATTCATTTAAGGAGTTTAAGAAAGGAGAGATATGATTATATTTCTGTTTTAGAAAAATCACACTGACTGTCAGCTACATGATGGATTGGAGTAGAACTGATGTGGGGGCTAGGACAGCAATTAGTAGCCTATTCCAGAAACCTAAAGGAAAAGTGGTAATGCATGGATTAAGACAGACGAAGCAGAAAAGAATGTTTTTAAATTGTGAGAAAAGTCAAAGAGGTACAATTATTATGACTTGATTACTGATTGATATTGCAGAAGAGGGGCAAAATGAAGTCTAGTATACACACCAAGTTGAGTGGCTGCTAGCTGGGTAATGCAGCCATTTACTGGGGCAGAAAATCCAGGAGGGACAAAGGGCTAAGGGGTTGCTTGGGAATTGGGAGGATGAATGCTCAGTTTTGGATATGTGGTATCTATGGGACATGGGACACCAAATGAAGATACATGACTCAGAACCCATAGGAGAATTTGAGCTCAAGATTTATAATTATTGTTTCTGTCATGAATGTTCAAATGGTTACTGAGAAGGACTAGACAGGAAAACATGCTTGAAAAAAAAATGTTATTCAGAAGAGTTATTTTAGGTAAATGATGGCAGTTGACAATAGACAAATGCCGAATCTTATTGAGAATTTAGAAGAAGACAAATAATGGCAACTTCTATAGCTGCCTAACATCCTCAAATGAGGTTCTTTTATTCAACAGTAGATATTAAGGATGAGGAGTAACAATGGGGACCAAGAAGCCTAGCCCCTCTCTCTTCTCCTCAGCCTCCTAGCTTCTCCCTGTGGTCCAGGTTATGTGAGAAAAATAAGCATCGTGCATTGGAGAGAGTGGCAGGGGAAGAAGTGCCTGGAGAGCTAGCCACACTTCAGGGAAGCACACGTATGGTAAAAACGTATATGGTGTAGGGTAGTTGGTTTTCTCTAAATGGGGACTTCCACAGGACCTCAGTGGAAAGGATGGTGGCAGTAAGGGAGTGAGTGAGAAGAAGAAAGAACAGCAGTACAGTCAGAGCATAAAGAAAGCTAGATGATTGGAGGGGCATGTTTTGTCCATTTTGAAGGACAACAAGATGAAGACATGTATTTCTGAGTTTTTTGTTATTCAAACAAAGCTGCTGAGAGACCTCAGGTCGTCACTTTCTGTCCCTGTAGTAAGGGGTATGATAATTCCTCAGCTGAAGTAGTAGCTGTTGCATACTTATCCCAAGTGAAACCCTTTTCGTTACCTTCTTCCTGGCATGCTGTATTCACATTTCCAGACCCACCTTAAATGTCATTCTCTCTAGAAATCCTCCCCAACTAACCTTAGCAGGCATAATTTGTCCTTCCTCTAAGCTTCCATGGCTTTTGGTGTACCTTGTAAGTACACCACTGTTTACTTACAATGGTGTATATTGTAAGTAAAACATTCCCACTCTACAGTGGAAGTCAAAAAGATGTACATGACTTGCCCAAGATTTTCTGACTCCAAGACCAGTGTTCTTTGTTTTATTTTGTTTTGTTTTGTTACATGTAGACACGTATGAGGCCACTCACTGGTGGCTTAGTCTTTTAAAAAGAGAAAGGTACCAAATTCTAATAATCTTCTAGATTTATAGAAAATAGCACCATGTTTGCCAGGATAGCTAGTCTTTGCTTTTGCTCCAACACAGGGGGCATGTTGCCTTGCTTCTGACACGTAGGAAGAATGCAGAGAACATGTTCCTTATGGAAAGGGACTCATGAATGTACCACTGCTCAGGTAACAAAACTATCAAGTGGGCATTTGGCATATGTGAAATGCTTACAGATTCCATGATTTGAAAGATATTTCTCTGTCAGACAATCCATTCTTTGGATAAAATGACTTGCCATTTTCAAAACATCACAACATCTTTGTTTAGTCCCTACAATGTCTTTTGTTTTGTTTTAATTTTTACTTTACGAATAATAAGCGTATATATTTATGGAGTACAATGTGAAGTTTTTATATATGTATATACTGTGGAATGATTAAATCAACTAATTAACATTTATCACCTCAACTATATTTTGGAGTAAAAACATTTAAAATCTACTCTTTTATTAATTTTGAAATATACATTATTAACTGTGGTTACCATGCTGTGCAATAGACCACTAAAATTTACTTTTTATGAATGAAACTTTGTACATTTTGACAAGCATTTCCCCTTTCCTCACATTCCCACTGCTCACGCCTCTGGTAGCAACCATTCTACTCTACTCTATGAGCTCAACTTTTTTAGATTTCACATATGAGTGAGATAATGCTGTACTTGCACCTCTGCGCCTGTCATTTCACTCAACATAGTATTTTCCAGGTTCGTCCATGTTACAGAAAATGACAGAATTTCCTCCTTTTTTAAGCCTACATGGTATTCCATTGTGTATATGCGCCACGTTTTCTTTATCTATTCATCCACTGATGGACACTTAGGTGGCTTCTCTTATCTTGGCTATTTGTAATGATGCAATGAACATGGGAATTCAGGTATCTCTTCTACATACTGATGTCATTTCTTTTGGATATATATCCAGAAATAGGATTGCTGAATCATATTGTTATTCTATTTTTAGGGTTTGTTTTGTTTTGTTTTGTTGTTGTTGTTTGAGCCGGAGTCTCGCTCTGTCGTCCAGGCTGCAGTGTAGTGGCGCAATCTCAGCTCACTGCAACCTATGCCTCCTGTGTTCCAGCGATTCTCCTGCCTCAGCCTCCTAAGTAGCTGGGATTACAGGCGCGCACCAACACACCTGGCTAACTTTTGTATTTTTAGTAAAGACGGGGCTTCACCATGTTGGCGAGGCTGGTCTCCAACTCCTGAACTCAGGTGATCCGCCCACCTCGGCCTCCCAAAGTGCTTGGATTACCGGTGTGGAGCACTATGAGCGAGATTCCATCTAAAGAAGAGGGAGGCGAGGGGAAGTGAGCGGAGGCGAGCGGAGGTGGGGCGGGGTGGGGCGGGGTGGGGCGGGGCGAGGCGGGGCCGGGCTGGGCGGGGCAAGGCGGGGCCGGGCGGGGCGAGGCGAGGCAAGGAGAGGCGGGGCGAGGCACAAAGTGGGGTAGAAACTGAAAGGTCACAGTGTATAAAGAAACTCCAGAGACAATGTTTGACCATGTGAAGCTAATGTTATGGGGAATTAACAACTATATATGAAGAAATCATGAGAGAGGAGAGATTAAGGCAATACAGACAGAAAGGTCATAAGATCCAAGGAGGTAGAGGGAACACCTGATACCTGAGTTGCTTTCTGGAAGCCAAAGAACCACTATTCCTGTGGTTTTTCCTTTCCATTCACTATCTATTGTCTCCCAGTCTTCTTTGCAGACTCTTCTCTATTTTTCCTTTAAATATTAGTCTTCTTCATTGAGGGCTCTGACCTTGGGCTTTCTTCAGCCTATTCGCTTTCCAAGGGGCATGGCCATGGCTTCCCATACTGCCTATATACTGATGAGGCCCAGATATTAATTTCTAGGATCTCTCTCCTGAGTTCGAGTCCTGCTTATCCAGCTGCCTGGTGAACCTTGCCGCTCCCCAAATACATTTTACTAGCCCTCAAAATGAAATTATCTAAAATGGAACTTTCCTGTCAAATCTTCCCTTTTTCTAATACTTTTTGGTAAAGAAAACCCTCAGCTGAAAACCAAAAATCATCCTAGAAATCTCTGTCCTTTTAATTCACTTAAACATTGTTATATTCATTGCACCTTTTTCATTTCTTTTGACTCCCTCTTCTTCCAGTCCCACTGCTACTGTCTAAACTCAGGGCCTCTGAGCTGCCCTTTTAGTTTCCTGGCATCAGTCTCCTAACCCTGCTCATAACTCTTCTGTGGCCATCCCATGTTCTTACAGGAAACCCTCAACATTTTCGCATGGCATTCAAATCCTCCATGAGGCTTCCCCTGGCTACTTCATCAACATAATATTTTGCTGCACTCCATCTAACCCCAGGTTTCAAGTTATCCAGACTTTCTGTGACTCCCACAACATCTCAAGTTGTTCCCTCCATCTGGACTTTGCTCTCCCTGGTCTCCCTTCCAGGAAAGCTAACTTCCCTTTCTCTTCCTGTCAACACTTTCCTATGTTGTCCTTTAATATTTATGATCCTGCCTCCACAGGAAATCGCTATCTTTTTATTATGTCCCAACTATACACTGTACAGATGCCTATGACAACATCGATAGCACTTTATTACACTTAATTTTAAAACTTTTGCATCCTTCTATTTGACCTGGAGGAGCAGAAAATATATCAATTTAACTGTTTGTCCTATGCCTAGCAGTGAAAACATTCAGAATATGCTTTGGAGGAAAGGAAGGAAATTAACACACTGATCCTCTATGGAAAAAATAAATTAGTTCATCCTCTGAGAGAAAAGAATAATTCAAGGTAAGCGAAGTCATGAAATGCAGTGGTCATAATTCAAAATGCTCACACAGATACACACACACCCCACACCATACAAAGCTCTTTTACGGAGGACAAAAAAGGGTATCGTCTTCTTCCTCAGAAAGCTGTAACATCACCTCAACAATTGGAAGCAGAAACCTTCAAAGGTAGGATAACTAAGCAAAGAAGACAATTCTTGAACTACATAGATAAATTCTCAGGTATATAAAGACTTTTTATTTACGTAAGTATCTTAGCAAGAATACTAGGGAATAGGCAACTGGAATTTGCTCCACGTTGATACTCGCAAAGAGAAATTGGAGTCCTTCACAGAGGCATGGTCCCAAGTACACTGGCAGACAGGAGGCAGGAAGGGCTCTGTCACAGTCCATAACAGTGCTAAAGAGTCAATTAGTCTCTAATTAGCTGAGGAAAAGCTGCTGCTGCTGTTTCTGTGAGCCTAAAGAAAGGTTTTAAGGACAGTTGAAATTGGAACGTAATCATCTCTGTTTAGGATGTAATAAATGATGCATGTAATCAAGGATGAGAGAGGACCTTCACTGCTCTAGCTAGTCTGAGTTACATGGGCTAAGGTACTCAATGAGAAATTGGGGCTGTGAGTTAGTAGCCAGGTGTTCCTCCCATTTGTACTATGGTATTTAAGTGCACAATCATGTGCCACCTTTCAGTCCAGGAGTGAAGGAAATTGCTAAGGCCGAGGAGGCACACTGAGTGTGTGTTGAGAAAGAGCGTAGGAAACAGGGAGGAGGCCCTGATGAACAGCCTTCTTCATTCAACAGCTCTGCACCTTCTCACGGTTTCTGAGGAAAAGGGACTGAGAGAAAGAACTTTTGCCTCCCAGAATGGAATGGTAAAGGGCAAACTGAATATTCTAGTCAAGAATGGGAATGTGCTTTGGCTTCCACATTTTGAGGATGATTTCTTCCTTAATGTAATGTATCCTGAAGGCACTGGGGGCAGGCAATGCATTCTTTATTTCTCCCTTGGCAGTTCTTCTGCCCCAGAACTGTAGGCTTAGAGTTGAGTTTGATGCTTGCACGTGTTTCCTTTGTCTGAAACAGTCTCTTTCATCTCTACTTAATGCCTTCTTACTCTCCAGGATTCCTCATGCACGTTAATTCCTGTGGGAAGCATTTCCTGATATTCTGCCCACACCTCTACCACTACGCAAGAGAGGGGTAAGAACATCATCTAGGTCACTCTCGTATGTGATTATTGGAGCACATAAACATTATAGTGCCATGGCCTATTTATGTATCTACCTACAATATTAGATGTGAATTCTTCACAGATAGGAATCATCTGATTCATCTTTGAATCTCCAGGTTCTGACATGGAGCACTGTCCAGTCTCATTCAATTAAGGTTTATTGAACTAAACTGTGTAAGATAAGGTAAAGTTGGTTATAATGCAGTATTCAAAATGGAAGCATTAAAGACATTGTAATGTACTTCCCAGGGTAAAGGACAACCTAAGGAATAGTAGGCCTGGGAAATGGGAATAAAAATGGCATAGCTAAACTATTTCTGGACCATGGACCTTTTGACAGTCTGGAAATGCCTTTATACTTCTTCTCTGACAATATTTCAAATATATAGTAAAATACATAATATGACAAACTAAAGTGACCTTTGGTTAAGAAAAGCTTTCTCAGGACACAAAAAGCACAAACCATAAGCAAAAAAAATTGACGAATTGGACTTAGTCAAAAATTTAAATGTCTGTTCTTCAAAAGAACTGTTAAGAAAATGAAATACAGGCCGCACATTAATAAAAGAAAAACTGCAAAGCACACACCTGATAACTTGCATGCAGAATACATAAATAACAAAACATTCAACTCAGTAAAAAGAAAGGCAAAGAGTTGGAACAAATGTTCACCAAAGAAGATGTACAGATGGTCAATAAACAAATGGAAAAATACACAATATCATTAGTCATTAGGGGAAATACAAATCAAAAGTACAATGAGATATCACTATACTACCAATAGAATGGCTAAAGTTAAAAGAATTTATAACATTAATCACTGGACACAATACAGAACAACCAGAGCACTAATATGTTGTGGATGAGAATATGAACAATAGAGTTATTTTGGAGAACAATGTGGCAGGCTTTTATAAAGTTAAACATATACTTACCCTATGACCCAACAATTCCACTCATAGATATTTACTCAAGAGGAATGAAAACATATGTTCACACAGCAAATGTTAATAGCTGTTTTATTCACAGTAGCCAAAATTCCACTAACAGGAGAATGGCTAAAAATATTGTGGTATATTCATACAATGGAATACAGCTGAGCAGCAAAGAGGGCCAAACTACCAATATATGCAACAACATGGGTGTATTTCCAAATCCCATTATACTAAGTGGCTAAGTCAAATAAGCCAAGCACAACAGACTACGTGTTATATGGTTCATTTGTATGACATTCTAGAAAAACTGTGGAAACAGAAAACATATCACTGGTAGCCTGTGGACTGTGAGGGAAGAGAGGCGTTGTCTACAAAGAAACATGTGGGAACTTCCTGCGGTGATTGAAAATATGCCAAATCTTCACTTTGGTTGTAGATATACAACTTGTACGTTTGTTAAAACTCACTAAACTGTATACTTAAAAGGGGTCAGTTTTACTGCATGTAAATTATTTTTCAATAAAACCTGAATTTTTTAATCCTAAAGTTTTATCAGAGAGAAATTATGAGTTACTAGTTATTAGTGTTACTAAAGCTAAACTGCCCTTTTAGAGAATTCAAGCTCAGGTTTTCCCCCCGCCCAGAGGAAAGGCATTTGTTCATGCTCTAAATACTGAGAGGAACAGATGCATTGGCTCAGCATCTTACTGAGTTTGTATGCTATTTGGAAATTGGATTGCTTTGATAAATTACTTGCTAGCCAGGAAGAGCATTAAGGGATTATTCGTCCGCCATGATTTCAAATTTTTCCCTAATGATAAAATCATTTGAAGTAAAAGAGTGCAGCCAAAGTAGTTTTACTTGGGAAGATATTATTTCATACGTAGACATGTCAGAAACAGTGTAAGCATGAAAAAGAAATATATTCTGATGTTCCCTTTTTTACTTACTTTAAGTGTTATAAATAATAGCACCAAACAATTTCAATCCTAAATAGCACATACTTCAGAATTCCCTTTAAGTGCTTGTCATCTTAAAGACTTAAAATCATATGTGGATGTGTGTGTTGTAGACTTCAGTCTTCAATTTGAATCATTACCTCTCAGTTCACGTTAATACCTGCATTAATTCTAATGATCTGGGGAGACTACCAGATTATAACACTGTTTTAGCATGTTTATGTGCTCTAATATTTGCCTACTGCATTGTAGCACATTTTGTTTTAATAGTACTCTATGTGTTTTAAGAATTTCCTTGCAAATCATTGATATTTAAACCAATTATGCAAAGAAAAATGTTAAAATCTTCATAAAGGCAATTTCTTTCATTTATTTGTTAATAGAACATTATCTTCCTTATCCAAAACAATTCTCATCTACGGTTTATGGAATGAAGAGCTACTGCTTATTTTAAATGAGTTCCTGTGTAACTATCAAATTAAATAAACGAATTCTTACCTTTAGGCGTTTTCAACGTTTTGGCATAACATTAGTTGTTTTAATGAACTGGTGGTAGATAATGTAATTATTTCCATTTTTTTTTTTTTTTTTTTTTATTGCGAGAAAGACCAACTAACTGCCAAGTTAGCACATATTTTTACATTTTTCCTTGTATAGAGTTGAGTTTCAGGTAATTGTGCAATGTCTTTACATGAAGTCTATTCTTTTACATATCTAGATCTGCTGATGTCTGACACACTAGCTACTGGCCACATAGAATTATTGAAATTAATTAGAATAAAATTAAAAGTGTGGTCATCCTAGATAAATTTCATGTGCTCAATAGCCATAGTGGTTTGTGGCCATCCTACTGCTCAGCACAGATATAGACCATTTTTATCATCACAACAGTTGTATGACACATTGCTTGTCTAGTCCAGGGTCAGAAAACCTTTTCTTAAAGCATTAGATAGTAAATATTTTAGGATTTATGGGACAAGAGGCAAAATTGGATCTATCATTTAGATGATTATTTAACCATGTGAAAAAATCAGCCCATTTAAACATGGAAAAACCATTCTTCACATGAAGGCTGTAAAAAACAGACAACAGGCTAGATTTGAGCCATAATTTGCCTACTCGTGGTATAGATCATTCAATCCTATATTCATTAAGCACATCTTTATTGAGCGCCTCTATGTTATAAGCAGTGGCCTAAATATTAAGCTTAGAGTAGTGAACAGGGAAACATAGTTCCAACTCTCCTGGGGTTCAAAACATAACAGAAAAGACATGTCAAAAATTAGACAATTATTCAATTGTTATAATTTGACAAGTACAATGAAGAAAATGTAGAAGATGTACAGGGAAAACCAAAGCAGCCTAAAAGTTAACTTGACTCTAAAAATCATCTGCAACTAATACTATGTTTTAATATGTGGCAAGTGCTGTTTATTTTAAACTTTCCAACTGATCTATGTGAAAAAGATGTTGTATACATTAATGAATCTAGCTAATATTTTTAATGGATTTATATTCAGATGTATAATGTTCTCATAAATCATCTGTTCTATAAATCTGAAATAATGGTACATCTAATGATAAAAAGTATGTTTGAAAAAATATTTGTTGATATTTATAATTTTCTTTTACTTTTCTTTATCTAGAATCTTTTGTAAGAATAAAAATATATGAATTGAATGTTTCCTTGTAATCAGAAAAACTTGCCACAGATTACTCCTAAAAGGGCCCATATTTTCTATTAATTGCTTTAATCAAAATTCAAATGAGTTCTTCATTAAACAAAATATTATGATGCACATAAAACCAGCCAACTTTGACAGACTTTTTTTAGGACACATGACTTCCTTTTATTTATGAAAACTCAGTATATATCATCAGCAAAGCAAAATAAAAACATATTCTCCACTCTCTTTCCCTATACTAGCAATGTACATTAATATTATATTTGATTTTCTTAGGCCTTTCTGGCATTTTGCAGTTTACTTAAATGCTGCCTTTTTATTGTTAGTGTCAAGAACTTTACTTAATCTAAATATTTGATCACTGCGAGTGTTTGTGTAAGAGAGACTTGAGCAAGCAAAAACCATTTTAAATTGAGCACACACCCTAAATGACAGACAAATAGGCCAAATTGAAATTGCTTTTAGAGATTAAATCCTGCGCCACATATCTGCTTTGTTGCAATAAATAAACCCCAAACTGTTAATTATGGCTGTTTATATATCGAGATGAGGATGAAATAAAGAGAATGAAATATTTCCCAAGGTCACAACATTGAATTTTTATTCTTCAGTTTCACTAAAATTAACAGTCCCAGAAGTAAATCCTTCTACTGTCTCAGAGTTACATTGTTCTTTCCTGGTGACAAATTAAGTGTTCCAAGAAATTATAATTTGACACTCCCTTCATATTTTCTTAGAACAATGCATGTTGGAATGATGCCAAGAATATTGGAATTTAAAACCAAATTTAAAAAGTAATGACTGAGTCCATGAAGAAAAAAAGTTTCTGCCTCTGAATTGCTAGCTGCAGCACTGCTTTTTGATCACTTTTGCACAATTCGTAGCATAGAGCTGCTACTGTTGTTCTTTAACACAGCTTTTTACATATAAATTAGCTTCTAGTGCCCTCAAGGTAAATGTCCTCAGTTTATCTTTATTTAGAAAAAAAAAAAAAAAAAAAACAGTGCTAGCCATTTAATTTACAGGATTGAGGCCCTTCCACAGTAATAAAGTCTTGCTGTCATCTGGGGAGAGGTCATAAGGGATTTTGACCGCTGGTGTACATTTTCCTTGTGGAGCATGGAACATCTAAACACCTGATAATAAATTCGTAGATTATTTTTTCCTGTGCTTCCTCCATCTGCTTCCTTCATCTTCAGGAAGGAGCTAGGCTCCAACTCACTCACACAATACCATCACCACTGAACTTGGAGGTACTCTTCCAATGATTTCCATTTGTTGGAAACTTGACACAGGAATTGGTGTTGGTGCAGAGGTGGAAGAGGGACACAGTCTGCTGCTGAGGCCATAAGAGGTGATAATATAGATGCATTAGGCTGTCTAGGACCTGCTCCACCCTTTGTTTCTACATGGAATCTTCGCCAGTTGGATCAGTATGTCCTAATGCTGATTCTTGAGGTCTCACCATATCCAAATGTTGTTTGGCACAGTTTCTACTTGTGTTTCCACCATTATCTTATGTCATTGAGGCCCCTCAGTTTTCTCACTGAGTCTATCAGCCCCACAGGAAAGCTCAAAATTTTGCCAGCATCTCTTTTTCCCCAGCAGAAGCTCTCTGCTGGGTTAAGATCAATCCTCAGCCACTAGGGAAAATGACAACCAAAAATTGCCAGCTTATTTCAGAGTGGTTCTCCTTCCCTTGGAATTTTTGTTCATTCTATTTTCTTACTCTGATATCTTTAAAAATATGTTTATTTGTGGTTTATTTGGCTTTTGCTGCTTGTTGCAGTGTGTTGGCTGGAGGTGACCTGCCTGACAACAGACCTACTAATTTCATTTCAACATGCTGACGTGTGTCTACTGTACCCATCAATGCCTCTGTTCTGCACAGCAAAAGGAAAACTTACCACAATGTATTTGATTTGGTTAAGAGATAGAACTTAGCACATACTTGTATTCTTTACAGTTTGGAAACAAACTATCATCATTTGTATTGGTATATGTTTGAAGATACCACAGAGACACAAAACTGTTTTTAAAAAAATCAAGCACACACAAAGAAACAAAAGTTGAAAGTAGTTCACTTGTAACCTATCTTTTTAAAAAATGCTAAAGAAAGGAATTCCTGGGAATATATATATACACACACATACACACAATAAATACGTATGTGTGTATATATATGTATGTGTGTATATATGTATTTATTGTGCATCTATTTACCTTCTTATTTTAGACAGAACTATTCAAATGCATTCTATTAATAAAATGTTTAGGAACTCACTTCCCACCCTCATTTCTGTGCTTTTAACTTTTGAGCATCAGGACTAACAACTGAGGAAAACGTCTAAGCGTGTTAAGTCTGCTCATACACCGTCATTTATACCCTGACAATACACACACAACCTACAAGTATATACACAAATGATACTTAATGGCATGTGAATTTTATCAACCTACTCTATTCTATTGAATGCTTTGAGGCACAGATTAATATTCTTACAAATTGTTTTATAATTTTTAAATATACTTTTTACTTCAAGATAATTTTAGACTTACAGAAAAGTAGGAGAAAGAGTTCTCATATACCTCTTACCCCAGTTTTCTCTAATGTCGCATCTTACATTCCCACAGCGGATGTGTCAAAAGTAAAAAAGAAACATTGGAATATTACCATATTAACTTAACTCCAGACTTTATTTGGATTTCAACAGTTTTCCATTAATGTCTTCTTTCTCTTTCAAGGCCTAATCCAGAATACCGCATTGTATTTAGTGTTTTGTGATTTTTTTGAAAAAGTGGATGTTTTATACAGTTCCACATTTTTTATTCAGTGTCTTGTTTGTGCTTCTATATAAGCATTTAATGCAACAGTGTTCATCTGAGTATTGCTTTTGAATGCCAAAATACCATGTTTTTCACACTCCAAACTCTTAGGCAGGCTTCTGAAGACAACTTGTCCCTTATTTATGATACTATATATTTAAAGTAACTGAAAATATGCAAAATAATGCTTACTTTGTGCAGAGTCCATGAACTCTAACCAAAACACATAAATGTCAAATTTGAGCAATATATTTTGATTGATTTTAAAATTCCATTTGAGGCACTACTTTTCTGAATAGATGCCCATGGAAAATATTTTAAAATATTGTTTTATTAAAAAATTGTTTCCTATAGAATCTGAAAAGTTATTTAGGTAGACTTTTAATAAAATGTTTGAACAATTTAAATGCTATTTCAGACTGTCAGAATGATGAATGTTTTTTAATTATTTTCATAATGATTTATCACTCCAGTTTACAGTACCTGAAATATTTTTTTCGCTTCACCTAAACAACTGGCGTTTTTCTGTTATGTTCTTTTCCTTGTTGTATACTCTGCTCTGAAGTACTTTCAAATTAAAAAAAAAAAAAAAAAAACAGTATTGTATTCTAGGGCCATTAGTGAATGTGCATGAGCTACTATAGTCAATGAAATGAGCATTATATGATTGAAGATTAACTAAGAAAATGGATTATGGTGCAATTAAAAACAGCAAAAAGGGCGGAATGCAGTGGTTTATGCCTGTAATCCCAGCACTTTGGGAGGCTGAGGCAGGCGGACTACCTGAGTTCGAGACCAGCCTGGCTAACGTGGGGAAACCCTGTCTCTACTAAAAATACAGAAATTAGCTGAGCATGGTGGCAGGCATCTGTAGTCCCAGCTACTTGGGAGGCTGAGGCAGGAGAATAGCCTGAACCCAGGATGAGGAAGTTCCAGTGAGCCGAGATCATGCCATTGTACTCCATTCTGGGCAACAAGAGCAAGACTCCATCTCAAAACAAACAAAAAAACAAAAACACCAAGATATTCCTGAAAAAGCTATGAAAATATGCTTTTCAGTTAAGGGGAAGCACTTATCAATGCTGCCAGTCCTGGTAAAGATTGTCGACTCTAATATAATGTAAAGCAGATATTTCTTATAATAAACATGAAGAGGATATTAGCCTTGATCATAGCGTAACTGTCTTCCAGGTAGGACTCCAGCTTCTGAAAGTAATTTTGTAATGCTCAGCAACTGAAGATGACTGTAGAGCTTGGCACCAGTTCATGGAGGCACCCATGATTCTGATTAAAGTCTGGGCCTAGAGAGCTATATGGAAAGGTTTGGAATAGAGATGATTTAGCCTAGAGAAAATTGCTAAACCATGGGTTACACACTGGTGGCCTGTAGTCCTATTTTGTTAGACAGAGACAATGGATTTTCTTTGTTTTTCACATTTGAATTAAGAATTCTTGAATATTGGCAGATGGTTCTACAGGAGTCTAAATAACTCTCATTTCTGCATGTCATTAAAAAAAGTAGAGATGAGTAGCAGGCCCCTTTTCCCTGGGGCATGTGCTCCCCAGCTACACACACAGCATCCACCACATCAGAGAGTTTCCCTACCTGGCAACTACCAGTTATCATCACTCCTTAGGCAGCTGTTTTCTTACAGTGTAGAAGTTCTGTTTCCATGGTGCTATCAAAAGTAGGAAAAGGAACTATAGTTTGAGAGGCTGTGTTCTTAACCCATTGATGCTCCTAATGGGCCCTGAAGGTATCTGACCTTGTGACCATGTGTAATAAGGTGATACATGTTTATTGAAGGGTGGTGTCCTCCTCCCCTGACTTTCAAATGGAATTCAGATACAATTTTTACCCTTAAATTGCTCTTACCTTATTGCTCATAGTAACATCTTAGTAGTTTTAAGCACAAACTCTACAGCTAAACTGCCTCAGTTTAAATTCTTCATGATTACCTACAATTATAATTATGCTACTTCTAAGTATATGACCTGGGGCAAGCTTCTTGCCTCGCTATGACCTCTCTATGCCTCACATTCCTCAACCATAAATAGGGGATAAAAATAGTACCTACATCAGAGTTGTCAAAAAGATTACATGAGTTAATGTGTGGAAAGCACTGAAGATAGTGCCTGGTAAATACAATGTACCATGTATGTGTTCATTGTTGCAGTCCTCATTTATTTTCTGATTATACTAATGTTTTACTTATTCTGTGTTCACCTCATATCACCACCTAATTTGTAAGTGACTGGTAAAAAGAAACTTGTCCCAAGGGTATCTGACCTTCACCCTCACTTTGCACCTCCATCAGACTGCATCAGTTTTAGGGCCTGGAAATGTATTTGCATATTGAAGGAGGTAAATAACTACAGTGAATAAGATAACATTCAGAAATTCAGGACTGCAACCTTAGAGATCATCTAATCCAGGAGTTGGCAAGCTTTTTCTGTAAAGGGCCAGATTGTAAATATTTTGGCTTTGTGGCCGTATTGTCTCTGTGGCAACTACTCAACTCTGCTGGTGCAGCACAAAAGCAGCCAGAGGCTATATGGAATGAATAGGTGTGGCTGGGTTCCAATAACACTTTATTTATAGACACTGAAATTTGAATTGCATATAATTTTCACATGTCATTAAATATTATTCTTCTTTTGATTTTTTTGCAACCTTTTAAAAATATAAAAACCATACTTAGCTCTGGACCATAAAAAACAGGTGGAAGGTTTCACCCAGGAATTCCACCTGGGAAATTTTTGTTGAACAGTGAAGCTACCTGGGCCCCACTCCAAACCCACTGAATAAAAGTCTCTGGGTGTTGAGGCAATGGAATCCGTGCTGTGAACATGCGTGTGTTCCCTACCAGTGTGGCTCCAGGGACCACACTTTAAGAAACTACCAAAGGCCTTCAAATGAATGTGGAGACTTTATGGCCCTCCTCCTCAATAGATCTAGAAATGATTTATTAAGGTTGATTGTAACAAGTACCACATTGCAAATATGAATATGATCACTTTTGACTTAAATTACATAAATTTGCTCTTCACATTCTCTTATTTTTCTTATCAAAATTTCTTGTAGACAAAGGTCATTATTTTCTTCTACTATGTTTAGGGAATTTAACTTACCCTAAAATCACTGTACATTAGAGAAATCCTATTTCATGTTTTCATTAATGTCGGAATATGTGCATGTTTATTGGCATTCTTTGTGGTGACAAAAAGTAAAATAAACTCTGAAAAGAACTTTGTCCTGGTGAATAAATTCTGGTGTATACTTACTTAAATTATGATGTCTATATGTAAAAGAATGTGTTTAGCTACATGTACTGCCCTGAGGGAGGGATGTCCATCACGTACTGATAACAACAACAACAAAAAAGCAAAATGCAGAATAAAGTTTACAGTACAATTTCATTTTCATGAAGAAAGGAAATACATGGATAATATTGGTTACCTCAAGCAGTTAAGACCAAATAGGGAAGTGGTGGGGAAAAAAAAAGCATTTAACTTTTTCTTTAAACACTTCTTTATTAACCTTTATGGTAATTATTTTTAAAGAGAAAAATTTTAAGTGCAATTGGGAACAAAACCTCAGCCTTTATAGTCTACGGGAACAAAACCTCAACCTTTATAGTCTATTTGGTACACAAATCCATTTCCCTGACAAGAGAACTCAGCTTCTGACACTCACAGACTCAGGCAAAGTGGAAAGATTTAACTTACTTATGATGTGAATTCACCTGCAAAATAGCATCATCATCAGATTTTTTTGCTAAAGGGGAGTTACATTTATATAAAGCTCATCTAAAGTCAAGTAGAGTCTTGACTTTGAATAAGCCTTGCTTTGACTAAATAGGTCAGAAAGAGGCAATCCGTTCTGCTATTTTGGTCTTTATTTTCAATACACAGAGTATAATTGTCATAGGCTATGATTTGTTCCATTACAGAAAGTTTCTCAGAAAACTAATCCATCCAAATAATTGCTAATTACACAGCTCATGTTAGGCTTCCACTTTGCCCTCATACTTTTCAGCAACAGATTTCATAAGAGTTGTGGAGAGCATGATTATCAAATGCTCAACTAAATTATTCTGTCTCATTTGAGCACGCTTGTCATTTCTATGTAATTACATATGAGCATTAGGTGACTTATGCTTTCTAAAGTAAAGAAAATAGCAATTTAATAAATCTATTAAGCACCCAAAATTAAATATGCTTAAATTTAAAGTAAAAATTGTTAGACAAAAAGGAGAACTTCATTCTCTAACTACAATTTGTTCATTTGTTCACACATCATTTATTGAGTGTATACTATGGCAGGACGTGTGCTAGTAGATTTATATGTACTATTGCCCAAAATGATTATTCATCCTCTTTTTACTCGGTAGAAAAAAGAAGCTTGGAAAAGTTGGCTTACGTGTAGTCATACACTAATAAGTGCACAAGTAGAGATTTAACTCAGATCTGTGAAGGAAAATTATTACAGCACAGTGCCAGCAATTATTCCAGGTAATTTATAAATATTAATGCATCAGATCTTCATAATGATTCCCAAGGTAGAGACTTGTGTACATACTGTTTTGCAGGTGAGTTCATTCCCACAGAGGGAGGGGAAGTAAATGGCAGAGCTGGAATTCAAACCCAGGCAGCCAGACTCCAGAGGCCTTGCTTTGAACCACCACTAAATGGTCTTTTCCATCCTAACAGCTTGTTGCTCCCATTGCACTGGTCTGCTTAGGAAGGCAAACAGACACATGAGGAAAGAATAGAATGAATTAAGTGCTGAGGTCAACAGCTGTGGCTATAGCATTTGGACCTCTGTCACATTTAGTGATGCAAATTCAGTGCAATGCTTTGAGGAAGAAAAGAGGGGAAGCAATTATCATGCTATGGATTCAATGGTATACCCTCCAAATGTATATGTTGAAGCCCTAACCCCTAATGAGACAGCAGATAAGGCTTATAAACAGTAATTAAGGTTAAATGAGGTCATAAGGGTAGAGACCCAATATGATTGGATTAGTGATCTTATAAGAACTGACACCAGAGTCTCACTTAAGTGCTTGCACTTCAGTTCACTCTGTCTCTCACTGTCTCCGCATGCACAAAGAAGATGGCATGTGAGCACACAGTAAGATGGCAGCTTCCCACAAGGCAAGAGAAGAGGCCTCAGAATGAAACCTACCTTCCCAACATCATGATAGGAAATTTCCAGCCTCCATTACGTTGAGAAATAAATTTCTGTTGTTTAAACCATCCAGTCTACGGTATTTTGTTATGGCAGCCCGAATAGACAAAGACTCATTGAAACGAGATAGTTCCCTTGATCTCTTCACAGTACTCACGAAGGGGTGGCTCATTTACTCAGCCTGCAGCTCTCAACCCCTCACAGGAGGGGGAGTATGCAGGTGAGTAGGTGCAGAGGGCAGGATGAGTGCACTCTGTGTGGTCCCGTGGCAGCATCTTGTGGGATACCTGTAACCCGTGGAGCCCCAGAGCGGGTGTGTTACAGTGTGCTCTTTCAGCTTTGCCATCCACGGATGACTTAAGTGTTTAACGGCTCAGTGGAGGGTCAGGGTGATATCCTTTTGCACATACCCTCTTGGTA